ATGATACTAAGGCCGCGCAGTAATGGACCGGTCGCATCAATTGTGCAGCAGGGCACGGTCAGCAGCGCCGACAGGCTGTCGCAAGGCGTGATAGCATGGCCGCAATACGCCGAATTCCCATGAACAAGTAATAACGTGTGGGCCCTCAGCAGAGCTGGGAAGAGGACCGCCGCAAGCGTGGCGTGGAGCGGTTGTGCATCCCTCCGGGGGCCCCTCTGCGCCGGGGAGGCGTTGTTGGAGGCTAGGACGCAAGCGTCCGTCGCCCTTTTTCAAACTCGGGGCCCACTCCGCTACGCTCCGACCCGAATTTGGAGGGCCTGAAAGTTTAAGGTGTTGCTAGCGCAAAAGGGGTCGGACACAGGGCGCAGCTCATGCTAAGAGCTAGAAGGGGAGATGGAGAGAACAACCACCCTGTCCCGTTATTGCGTACACCAACACCACAAAGCTCTCTCTCTCCTGCTCCTCACACTCAGGGGGCGGTCACGACTACCGAGTCCCTAGAGTCTAGCTGCCACGTTCAAAACCAGGACGGCGACAGTGATGGTGCTATCACGGGCATGGTCAGGGGAAAGTGGAGCGGGGGGGGGCGAGCGTCAGCCAGCCAGGTGATAGTAGAGCAGGCGCTTTGTGGGTGGCGGTGGGCGGCGGCGCTGGGTGGCCGGCCGCGAATCGTTAGCTGAGCTCCTCCCTCAAGCTCGATCACGCATGACGCACGTAACCTGACAACGTCGGCGAGCTTCTGGATCAGGTTAGGTTGCTGGAGCACCTCCAACTCCTCCTCTGAGTCAGACACGCCAACGTCGACGACTGCGCCCTCCTCCTCCTCCTCCGATTCGCCGACTGCACCCTCCTCCTCCATGGGCTCGATCCGAATTCCGCAGCGTGTCGTCCTCAGCGGCGGTGCTGCGCGGGAGGCCGCGGGCACGCTGGGCTCGATCAGCGGCTTTCCCTCAGTTGCTCCGAAAGCACGCACGGATTTGGCGGCCGTTCCTGGCTTCAATTTTACGGATGTCTTGGCACCAGCTGAAGGCTTGCCCCCGTCCACATGTCGCATGCTGCTCCATTGTGAACCACAAGCCAATCAGTGAGCAACGGTGGCAATGTGTCGATCGCGTATAGTGCGGTTTCAATCAAAATCCGCTGCAGCATCACGTTGAAAGGCAGCGTCGAGTGCGTATGGTGCGCATAGGACTTTCGGGGATCGGTGTATTTGTACTCTTGGAGAGATGTACACGCAGAGGTGCAATCCGGTAGGTGATTGAAATGCACACCTTTATGCTAAAATGTACTTCTTTATGTGCCGGCCCACATCACGCAGTTCGTGCACGGTATTCGGATTTTGCTATTTGTTCGTGTGGGGGTATATTGCAGATTTGTCAATGGTACCGCGTCTGCGACGCGCTGGCCGGCTTCGGCAAGAAAAATCCCTACTTATGCGAGTGAGTGCGGAGTGGTGGTGTGGGGCGTGCAGTGTGGTGTCCATTAGCTCCGAGTAGAGGGTCCTGCAGTTAAGGGGAAACCCGGTATGCGGGGCCAACCCTCGGAGACCCGTGTTTATTTTACGGCCCTTTCCCTGCGAACGCCGCGCCGCCCCGCCCTGCCTGCGTCGCCCGCTGAGGGAGGGTGTAGAGGATGTAGAGTGTAGAGCGCTGTAGAGCTGTAGAGATGTAGAGCGCTGTAGAGCTGTAGAGCTGTAGAGCTCTACATCCGCCGCGGGACGAAGCGCCTGCGTTGTAGAGCGATGTAGAGCGCGATTTTGTTGTAGAGTTTGTTGTAGAGGCTCCACAGCCAAACCGCCGGGAAGGCAGTGACTCAAAGAGGTCGAGTCGCACTAATGGGGTGTCTCCGAGCTTACTGGAGCTCTGATGGACGGCCCTGACTATCCCTGACACACAGAAGAGTCACTCTGACGGCACACAACACCCTATAACTACGTCATGACCAGCCTGCCATGCGTCGCCGGTGCCGCATTCATCGCTGTGCTTCTTTAGCAGGCGGCGGACTGTCGGCTGCGAGGACGGTCGCATTTGCGCGAGGCGAGGCGAGCATTCAGACGCGTTGCATGCGCCATGCCTCGCGCCAGCGCGTGCGGGAGCTCCTGGCTGAGCGTTGAGTCCAGGCGAGTTGCGCTGGCCACTATCGCTACGCCGAGCCGAGCTGACGCGCCGAGGCGCCGGCCAGTCGCAGCCGTGAGGCATGCCACAGCAGCAGAGGCACCTGCCACCCATTGGGCGGGCAGACAGAAGGCCAGGGTAGCACTGGCAATTGCGCAACGCGCCTCATGTCGGAGAGCGACCGTGCCTCGTTCGCCGCTTATGATGTAGAGTGTTGTAGAGATTTCACGTTGTAGAGCGCCTCTACATCGCTCTACAACGCAGGCGCTTCGTCCCGCGGCGGATGTAGAGCTCTACAGCTCTACAGCGCTCTCGAGCTCTACAGCTCTACAGCGCTCTACACTCTACATCCTCTACACCCTCCCTCAGGTCGCCCGCTGCCTCGCCGCGCCGCCGCCACGCGCCGCCCGCCGCCGCGCCGCGCCGCGGCCCGATGATTAATAATTAATAATTATTACCCGATGATTAATAATGTGTGTGTGTGTGTGTTTGCTCGGTGGCAGGGGGGGCAGGGCAGCGCCAGCGGCGAGCGGCAAGTGGCGTCGACGACGCAGCTAGGACACGATGAGACGCACAAAGCGCAGCGTGCGCGGTAGCAGCGCCGACCGCGGCCCCGCGCCGTATCAGCGGCGCTCTGAGTGAGTCAGGCTGCGCTGCACAGCCTGCTGACCACGCTCCCGACGAGCGGCGCGCGACGCGGGCCCGCCGCACCAGGCGAGGCGGCGAGCCGACGCGCATGTCGTAGGCGTAGGCAGCGCTGGCGAAGCGAGGCGGCCGGCGCCGGCCTCCGGAGGCGGTTGCAGCGAGAGAAGCGAGGCAGAAGACACTGTTGAAAGGGTGGTGAGCAGCCCGCCGTCGAGCGGCGCGCCGCGCAAGCCCGCTGCCGGCGACCCGATCGGAGAGCTGGTAGGCATGGTACTCTGAGCGCGCCATCGCGCCCGATACGGCCCGCCCTGGCCCTGCGGACCTTCCCAGAGAGCTTGGCGAGGCTGTACAGAATGCCGCCGAGAGGGTACTGGGCATGCTCCCGTCGTGCGTCGAGCTACGAGCCATGCTGGCTCGTCGCCGGCGGCGAGGCAGCTCGAAGACCCGCGCCGAGCTTCGCCGAGCCTGGCGGGCCCGCCCGCACGCCCGCGGCCGCAGGCAAGGAAGGCGAGCTTCCTGGCGTCTCTAGCCAGCGCTCACATGCCAAAAGGCACCTCGCAGCGCGCGAGACATGACCGAAGCGGTACGCCTCGGCGCCACGAGAGCAGCCGGTCGACGTGGGCACCAAGCGGCCGCCGGGCGCCTTCGAACCGGCAGGGGCGCCGCGGCAGTAGAGAGCACTCCACCGCCATACCGTTTTTATGGCGGGTCGCACTCGATGCCCTTGTCACTTCACGGCTGTATGTATGTAGGAAGGAAGTAGGAGGAAGGGAAAGG